TCATTTAATTACGTGATTTGCGCATTGGTGCGACTCATTGGTCTTGCCTTCTTCACACTAAGTCTCTCTCTCTCTCTCTCTGCTGAACGGCTAGAGTGTGACAGAGAGGAATGCGTACCGAGCCAATGGCGCGCAAATTGGGCCGCGGGAAGGCCAGGATCGCTGAGGGCATGTCTCGATGCAAGTTCCGTATCGTTCCGCACCTTTAGTTGGTCCTTGTCCCTCCACTAGGTGAGTTTCCCCTTATCCGACCTTCGTCCTTATCGTGGAATTCTACATACCCTAACACAATGATCTCAAGATCACCCGAAAGCCTAGCAGTGAGGGGAGTAGCAATTTGACCGAACTCTAGTCAATAGTGTTATGTGGCAACGATGATTCCAAGCACCAAAACCTAGAGTCTGCTCGACGTATTGGTGCTTAGAACCTGGACCTTCTGAGGTATTAGGTACCGGATATCTTAGTGTCGTTTTTTCACCGCGAGTTTCGGACCACCAATATTTTAATTCAAAATCCAGTGAGTGAAACGGCATATCCATCGAATGACTCATTAGCCCTTTCCCATTTACCAGTATGAGTGGAAAACCTCGTACGATTAAAGCTAGGAATTTTTTGAGTCGAAAAAGAGAGGTAGGTCGAATTTGACATCATCTGACAAATCATCCCTCTCACTTGCTAAACAGTTGGGCCTGGACAAAATAGTATACATTTAGTTAGAGTAGGGTCTGCACTGTTGGTGGAAAATTTATTACTTACCAGCTCAACTGGACAATTTTTCCCGGAGTCTTTTTTGCCACATAGGGTCAAAAACGCACCCTTTTTGAGCACACGTGAGTAGCAGATGAGCACATTTATTAGAATTTCTTGGTCAATCAACTTCGTTAGAGCGTCTGTGCACCATCGATCAGTAACTGCTAGGGTGTCCTACCATTCCAGCACAAGACTGGTGCAGCCCCGTTTTGACTGATTTAGCTAGGACCACCTTTTTGGCGACGGTTGCGGGCATCCCTTCAAAGACTTTACTGTCTTTTAAGAAAACTGTGAAAAACCGATGAGCATTTTAAATGGTAGTATTCCCTCCATCAAATGCAATGCTGGTTTGGTGGGCGGAAGTTACAGCTCTCAGCAAGAATTTTGATGCATTTGGTACACACATGCGAATTTGCACACTGGACCCAGGAATTTTCAGAAGAAAGTATAAAAATTGGGGGAAAGTTAAATTGTGAACCAACAATAGAAGACGGTAAGCAACATATTTCGCAATATTAATGAGCAAAAACTGCCTTCTGGATATTGATTTTCCATAGTAATCGGCCCCAAAACTTCCTGAACTCAGAAAAGCGACACTAAGATATCCGGTACCTAATAGTTCTGAGCGGCGCTGGTGGAATGTCCCTCAAAAGCTCTCTTACCATTGAATTCGATACAGTGCTTCCAGCAAATGCGGATATAATCTCGTTTCAGTGTTTTTCGAAAAACAAATGAGACCTCTGTGCAAGTTCTTCCGTACGAATGTGACCCAGCGTCCACTGAGAAGAACACGGTCGCCGTTGGAATGGTTAGTCGAAATTTTTTTTAATCTTACGATTTTTTTAAAGCTACATGTACCGTACGGGCGTAGTGTCCAGCATAGAATTACGGGCGTTTTGTTACCACTCGCCGTACTATCGAGATTTGGGTTGAAGCTGCTCTGTGGTTAATAATTTTCTCACGTAGGCAGGATATGGGTCTATCGAGAACTCTGGAGATCCTTCTCTGTTCTCCGGTTGAGGTGAATGCAGCATCATAAATAAAAACTTACGATTCTACCATATGGGGTTGGGGAGCACTCTCTTTTATGACCATCTTTTAACAGATGCTGTTTCGCGTATCTCAAGAAATACCAAGATCACCCACAATATTTCACACAGAACCGAGGACTTGCAATGGGCCAACGTCTAGCACCAGTCCTGGCTATATGCTTTATGGGTAAGAATAGAAAGACCGGTGCTAGCACGCATGCCCATTATGTACTGCCGATATATTGACGATTGCTGCGTAATTACTTCAACGCAGCTCGAAATGGACGAATTATTCAACATTCTCAACCAACAGTCGCAGTACATAAAGTTCACGAGAGAAGCTCCACACGACGGCTGGCTACCTTATTTAAATACGCAGATAAAAGTCTCAAACGGAACGTATAGTGTGAAGTGGTACAGGAAAAGCAGTTCAAAGAACATCCTACTCCATGCGAGGTCTGCACACCCCAGCGCTGTAAAAAGTGCGGTTATCCGAAACATGTACAAAACAGCTGTTAAATGATTCTGATTAATCATTTCTGGGTAAGCCACGAACTTCGTTTGGAATAGCAATAGCAGAGAATTGATGGATGTACTTGCGGACCAGGGCACTTATTGCACTAGCAGTGTCACTTTTAGTAAACAGATTTTGCCTTTCTTCGACTGCCCACCACCTTAACGACTTTGCAGTTCCAATATGCCGCGCCTTAAAGGGAGTGATCGCGTTGGCTTCGAGGTGGAAAACAGTCCCACATGTCACTCACGAAAGAAGTCGAGATAGAGCTAACGCAAGATGGAGGTGGCCCGGACGAAGAAATTTTGTCAAGGCAAAGCCGTCAACGGCATGATGAAAAGGAACATCAAGCAGTAACGGTAACTTTACACGTCAACCAGGCAAGCATCGCACGCCCTCTCAAGCTCGAAATGTAGGTCAGCAAGAATCCCAAAAGTTCGAAGAGCTCGCTTTCAGCGCCTTATCGTGCTGTTGGTAATATGCCAGTGCCCCTGCCTGCGCCATCTATCGTCTCATCGGGTAAGTATCCTACCCCATCCACTGTGACCTTCTCATCCAATCCTATGAGATCTACGACCACTTTCTTTAAGTCTCCATTAATGACTACACTGCGCGAAACGTGGTTTAACGTCTTGCAAGCAGAGGAACGTTATAAATTTGCACGAAACTTGAACAGCATCCGCACATTCTTCATCATGGAATACACATGCGCCGCCCAAAGTCAAAAATATTCGAAAAACTGAAAACTTTACTTACAATTAGATCACAATACAAAATTAGTAAGGGTTTATCACCATTTACAACTACATATTTCTTAAGATTTTTTTGTAACCATACAAGGTTCTCCAAAGCAACAGCTCAAAATGAGCTATTGCTCAAGTCTTAAGCAGCCGCCTCTTTACTTGACTACACACTTCATGCGCGATCCACGCTAGTCGATGACACTGAACTCTTTAATCGCTGGTATGCACTGTCATGGATCAGTTATATTAGGTTGGAAAGAAAGTTCTGCAACACTCTTTCTAAAATTTTCTTTTTTTTTCTGAAAAATTCATAGGTAACATTTATGACTAACAAATGGTAGAGCATTCTCGAGGCTTCAATCCACGAGGTGGATATAAGTGCTGCAGTCAGTAGTTATCCAAGAAAATTCAAAAAACCTCGACCACTAGTAAATCCGTACTCCGAGTCACTGTCTAGTACAAATGTCTCCATAACTATGGATTCGTGTCAAAGACCAACACTATCTGCAATAGCTTCAATAGGCATGCCGTTCACCGCTACAGCGTGTTTCACCTTTACCAGCGCTTTCGATCTTTTGATATTTTTATAAGAAGCCAGCAGCGTCCCGCACACTCCATTACAGGTAGGGCTCTTACGGAAGCTCCACTACAAATTCTTCGTTATGGGCACCATTGTGTAGGTAGAGGTCTAGGCTGCGGAACTCCAGAAGCTGGCCGAGGCAGCTCGTCAGGAGCCCTCGTACCGCGACAATATTTATTTCTTTCATGACATTGCGAATCACCATGATCCGAAATGAGCCCGGTAAGAAATTCTGGAGCTGCGGCAAGATTTCTTACCTCTCTTAGCGTATTCCCCTGGTCGAGCTGTAAATGACTGCCACCTATCCTGGACCTTAATCATCATCTTGATGACGAAATAATTAGACGATCAACTCCAACTCGAAAGTGAGGTCGCCTCCTTTCTCGACCCGCACTCCGCTGGGTTTTGGCAAAGGAGCATCAAGAAATTTTCTGAGCGTTGAAGACAAGTGGTGGACACTCATGGTAGATATAAGACCGGTCAGGAGTTGTAAACAAAAAAGATAAAATTAAAATCAAAAATTTGAAAAAGTGTTGCAGGACTTTCTTTCCAACCTAATAATAAATACACTTTTACCATACCTTTTTATGGCCTCAACGGTCGCCGCTATATTATCTGTTGGTACCACCAATATCACAGGTTGAACGACTTGTTGGCTGAAAATGCTAATAAAAGCCAACAAGAAGATTAGAGATATCAAAGTTATAAGTGCAACAATTATTGGCTTCCCTGCTGCCGTGTTGAAGTAAAACAACAGAATCAAATAATTTGCAAAATGCAACGCTGCAAATATTTTACAATTTTACAAAAGGAATTGCGAGCGATTAATCAATACTTAAAATCAGGACTCAAACATAAAATCACTAAGCACCTCCTTGAGTTTTTTCATAAATGTCACGCACTATGAAAGATGAACTTTTCAATTATTTCTGAAAATTTTGTCCCTCAAAGATCCCTACTATATATAATGCGCTATGTCTGTCTGTCCGTCTGTCACGAAATTCGGTATCAAGCGAACAACAACCTACAGGGTCCAGGTCAAGTTTGGGATGGGTATACCATATCCCTAGAAGTAAAAAACACACATCAGCCAAGCGGAGCCCCGCCCACAGTGGGCGTGGCGTGCATCGGTTGATTTCAAATTCAGTCACAAAACAGCCTCGAGACCGGGACAAAAGTGGGCATAGGTGTGGGTTGGTAAGCCAGATCGAACTGAGGAGACCCACCCTCGGTGGGCGGGGCGTTCTCTAGAAAATGGGTGCTCAGTGAAAATATTCATAACTCGGTTAAGAGGAAGCCTACAGACCAGAAACGAAATTAGTGCAGGGGAGCAATGCCTAAGGTATTTCCAGCACGCATGATGTGAACGGAGGCCCGCCCACAATGGGCGGAGCGTGTCGTGAAGCGGACAGCATTTTCTACAAGAGCTCATAAATCGGCTCCGAGATGACTTAGAGACCGGAAAACAACGGATAGAGGTCAGGAGGGGAGGGGAAGCTAAATGTCAGGGATGGGCGTGGCTTACATCAAAGTGGGCGGAGTTTGCAATTAGGCTTATAACTCGGTTCCTAGGAGTCCCGGAGTCCGGGAAAAAAGCGTATAAGGGTTGGCAGAGGGAAAGGGGTCAACCGTTGTTGGCGGGCGGAGCATGCACCAAAGTGGGCGGGGTTTGCCACGGTACTTCATAACTCGGTTCCAATAAGTTCCAGAGATGGGAAAAAAGTAGAAAAAGGTTGGGGAAGAGATGATAGCCGACTGATATCAGTGGGCGACCCACGCACCAAAGTGGGCGGGGTTTGCCACAAAGATACGTAGCTCGATTTCGTCCCCTACAAGACCTCATAATTCGGCTCCGAGATGACTTAGAGACCTGAAAAAAATATGCCAGAGGTGAAAGTAGGAGTAGAGGTTGAATGTGAACGCTGGGCGTGGCACACCCGGATGTGGGCGGAGTTTGCCACCGCTCTCATAACTCGGTTCCTAGAAGTTCCGGCGACCGGGGAAAATGTGCATAAGTATTGAGGTATGGAGTAGGGTTGAATGCCATTGTTGGGCTAACCATGCACCAAAGTGGGCGGGGTCTGCCTCAGAAATTCGTGACTCATAACGCCATTTACAAGACCTCATAATTCGGCTCCGAGATGACTTAGAGACCTGAAAAAAATACGCCAGAGGTGAAAGTAGGAGTAGAGGTTGAATGTGAACGCTGGGCGTGGCACACCCGGATGTGGGCGGAGTTTGCCACCGCTCTCATAACTCGGTTCCTAGAAGTTCCGGCGACCGGGGAAAATGTGCATAAGTATTGAGGTATGGAGTAGGGTTGAATGCCATTGTTGGGCTAACCATGCACCAAAGTGGGCGGGGTCTGCCTCAGAAATTCGTGACTCATAACGCCATTTACAAGACCTCATAATTCGGCTCCGAGATGACTTAGAGACCTGAAAAAAATATGCCAGAGGTGAAAGTAGGAGTAGAGGTTGAATGTGAACGCTGGGCGTGGCACACCCGGATGTGGGCGGAGTTTGCCACCGCTCTCATAACTCGGTTCCTAGAAGTTCCGGCGACCGGGGAAAATGTGCATAAGTATTGAGGTATGGAGTAGGGTTGAATGCCATTGTTGGGCTAACCATGCACCAAAGTGGGCGGGGTCTGCCTCAGAAATTCGTGACTCATAACGCCATTTACAAGACCTCATAATTCGGCTCCGAGATGACTTAGAGACCTGAAAAAAAATATGCCAGAGGTGAAAGTAGGAGTAGAGGTTGAATGTGAACGCTGGGCGTGGCACACCCGGATGTGGGCGGAGTTTGCCACCGCTCTCATAACTCGGTTCCTAGAAGTTCCGGCGACCGGGGAAAATGTGCATAAGTATTGAGGTATGGAGTAGGGTTGAATGCCATTGTTGGGCTAACCATGCACCAAAGTGGGCGGGGTCTGCCTCAGAAATTCGTGACTCATAACGCCATTTACAAGACCTCATAATTCGGCTCCGAGATGACTTAGAGACCTGAAAAAAATACGCCAGAGGTGAAAGTAGGAGTAGAGGTTGAATGTGAACGCTGGGCGTGGCACACCCGGATGTGGGCGGAGTTTGCGGCGTAAGTAAGATGTACCGAGCAGAAAGCTAAAATCAAGACAAAAATACTGATGGGCCCGATTTTACCGCTGCAGCCCCGTCTCATGCACGCGAATGCGTGCGCAGCCAAACTGGTATAATAATATTCTAAACATTACCTCGACGTTCCTGCAGGCGTTTCCACAACCTTTTTACTTCTGATTTCATTCAATATTCGGTCGACTCTCTTCACATATTTTTTCTTCTTCTTAGTCGATGTTTCAGACGAAGAAGGCACCGCATTGGCTTCCTCGGCTGAAATTACACTATAAGTATCCTTGCAGAAAAATTACGAAGAAATAAATACAAAAACATGCGAATTCCCTTATAGGCGGTATATACCAAGACGATAAGTAATGAATCACGCGAAGAATTTCCGCTGCTCGCCAAAAGTCTACCATGGAGATTCAATCCATTTCAATAGACTTTCTTTAGAACTCTAGAAGAGAAGAGAGAGAAACAGCCCTCTTCAGCCTTATCAGAATCGAAGACCGAAAAACTGTGGCGCGAAAGCACTCTAATGAGGAGATCCCGTTGACAGATAAATTTCATAAATAAGCCGACGACACTGCCCATCGTATTGCTTTGCAGCTGCAGCAATCATTTGCGAGTCCTTAATCAACTTCCGCACCCCAGCACAACGAAGAGGATTTAATCGCACAAGATGGAACTAGGAACGGATTGACGAAACAGAAAAACGACATTCAAGATGCTTATCCAATCCAGCTAACGGTCTACAAGCAAGAAATCAAATGCCACGCTAATATACTCGAAATTACGAAAGCTTGACGAGCTGACAAAGAGCTAGGCATGAAGAACGCCACTTATATTAGACAAGGCGAATTCGAGAATTGATGTTAGGCCGGGAATACTTGCACATTCCCGTACAGCAGCGGGAAAGGCACTCGTTAATGGAATCATTTGCGGAAAATTCTTGCACTCTTTCAACATGAATGTATCAGTTGTGATCACTGGAATGCAGCACACAAAGTTTCACGCATGAAGATTCGGTTTCCGAAGAGAAACAAACGAAAATCCATTCTATGGACAATCGAAGGTAATTCGGGCGGAGCCAAAGGCGGGCATGGAAAGAAGTCCGCTTGGGGCGGCTACGTATCAGGCGACGCAATGAAAGAATCGGGTTAAAGCGCGCGATTTCGGAGAGTAGAGACAAATCGATCGATAGAATAGGATGGAGTAGAAGTGTAAGATGTGAATGCAATAAGCAGAAGGCCAGAAAGAGTTTCTAGTGAAGGCACTCCAAGAACCAAGTGGAAGCATCCCCGTCGCCAGCATTTGTGAAAGACGTCCGTGGGCACTTTGAACGCGTAGCAGCCCTTTCGGTTTTCGAATTTTTTACCAAAACGAAAGCAATTTTTCTGTTCTTTTCATTCTTATCGTGGATAATGAGTCTCAAGCCAGTGATTTATGGCTGAAATAGAATCATGATTTTTCCGTGGATTCTTTAATCAGTGTGACATGGCGACCAGATTTGCGGTTTTGTCCCAAATTTTTGGAGCTTTGCAACAAATATTTGCCATGTTGTGAAAGACAGCCTGGAGGTACATCACAACACCTGAGCTTCTTGCTGTATCGCTTCCACCAAAGTGCTTTCTGGGTTAATAAAAGTAGGAATAGTCAAACGTGCTTTTAGTAAACTAAGATTTTGCCAGCCATAACTGCTGAGACATGCTACCTTAGAAATGCTCTAAATTGAGCATTTACCATCGCTCTCATGCGTTTTTCACTGAATGTTTGAAACAAAGATCCATAACATGGAGAAGTATGTAAGTGCGCAAAGTTTCGTATAACTTCGTATAATGTATGCTATACATACGTGTTGTTAACAGTGAATGTTTGAACAAGCATCATAACATGGAGAGGGAAGGTGCGCAAAGTTTTTGGTTTTTTTTCGACTAATTTACTGATACTAAAAACTACCCAAAGAGAAGACCCAGATAGCGAGTAGGGCAGCTCGACGGAACGATATCAATTCGCCAGTTAGGAGACCTCAACAACGACGAACACTGTCTTCTATTTTAACAATATTATGTTTGTACTTTTTGACGAGAGCTGGGTTACGGGCAAAAGCCTTCGCTCCAGGAGGGAACCGAACCCACAAACTCGACCACCTTGGGTAAGGGGCGGGCGAGGCGAGTTTTGCCCGGAACGCAGCTCCTTGGATTGATAACTTTTCACATGGCGGACTGCGATTAAACAACAGAGAACACTCAAAACATGTCGTTCTTGAAATTTTTGAGGAATGTAGCATGAAAAAGAGGAACATATCAGGAAACCGCTTTCTACCTAGAGAAAACCGGGGACGTATCTGCAATTATTTCTAGAACTTAACCGTCTATTAATGCTTACGAATTTTCCGTCGTGCAACCCTTCCAAAAAAAGCTCGGCGCTAGCCAAATTATCATTACTATTATTATTATTTTCAATTATTTTAATTTTTTATTATTATTCAGAATTACGAGGAAATTATAGGTGTACGTCGCCTAAAAATGTGCTAGAGTTAAACTAAACAAACTGCACTGAGCAGTGAATTACTGCCAGTTATTCGCCATTCTTACGATGATAAGGCACAAATCTTCTGAGACTGGAATAAGAAGAGATATAAGCGCAGTTCTATTCTAGACCTGAGGAACCGAACCCTGTTTCTGCTTGTAATGTAAAATGCAATGTAATCTAAATATCTAGAAATGCTGACAACAAAGAAAGTTAGGACTTCAAAATGTTTCACGCAACCTCCGAGTAAACTTGATGTTCAGCTATTAGCCAGTTCAACTTAAAATTAACCAAGGTTTATAATCCGCCATGTTTTGTCCGCTTTGTGAGTGGGGGGGGGGGGGGGAGGGTGAACTTCAGTAAAGCTGAAGAGCGGCGTTTAAAGCGATTGAAGGACAAAAACCTGTTATGTGATTTGAAGTGAGATTTTGGCACTATTCAACTATTACAACCCCAAAATCTCAAAATTTTAGTTCTCGCCGAAATTCCTCCATAAGGGTTATTCGATGCCCTGATTACGGAAAATGACATTCAGTTTTGACGTTTGGCGCCAAATGGCGCCAAATGGTGCCAGGGCTTATTTCACAAAATTCGGTGGAAACTTGTATACAGGGTCAACCCTGCGTTGCGCAAATTCCAAATTTTTTGCGACCCCCTCCATTTCTTGGGGTGTCAGTGCGACCCCCCCTCTATTAGTGGACATGTGTGTTTTTTAGTGTTACGGGTGTATTTCTGTGTGTATCAACGTCTTTGTCCAATAAAGTTGAAGTGTCTCCAATAGTTACGGGCGCCTTCTTTGAAAGCTTATATCTTCGTCCACAGGCGTTTTCATGGAACCGGACACCAAAATTTTAAAAATGCAAATAGTTTTCTTTCAAAAAAACATTTGAAATGTTGCGGATGTTCAATATTTAAAAAAATCGTACCGTCGTTCCCGTTTTCTGTGCACACGCGAGTTTTCGACATTCAAACATTCATAACTTTCTTCATAATTAACTTTTTGCAAATGTCTAAGGCTAATTAGAAACTAGAAGATTAGCGCTTTCGAACGAGCACCTGGAAAATTTTCCAGCGATCATTCTTTCAAAAAATAGTCCCGTCGTTCCGTTTTGGGGGGGGGTTTGGGGTCCGATTTTTGAGAAAGCGCGAGTTTCCGACATTAAAGCATTTATAACTTTCTTCGTATTCAACTTTTTGCGAATGTCTAAGGCTAATTAGAAACTAGAAGATTAGAGCTTTCGAATAAGGGCTGAAACTTTTTTGAAAAATCACTCGTTCAAAAAATAGTCCCGTCGTTCCGTTTATTTCATAGACTTTTTTCAAGCCTTTCTTCTGAACCGCGACATTGCAATATTCAAGACCCATAACTTCCTTTAAACTTCATAAAATGAGAAGTTGACCGTTTGCGGAATCTACGCGAAGAGTACTTTATTACTAGCGTTTAATTTTCATGGAATTCTTTCTTCTGCTTCAATTTCATAAGGGGTCTTTGAAATTCAATTCAGCAAGTTCGCTACATTTTGTTCCGCTTAGATTTGATTTAAAAGCATCAAAATTTTCTTGAGGAAGTTTGTCTGCTTACGGCCGCTCACAGAGAAGGCGTTTTTATGGGAAAACGCCTGCTCGGGTATACGCCGTGCACCTGTCTGTGGGTGGAAGTCGCACTCGCATTTGAAGGTCCTCCACTTTCCCGAAGAAGGTGATAGTACATGATCGAATTGCATTGTATGTTTTGCGGTACCATTGTGTGTTTTATGGTTTGATGGTTGTTTTACTTTCCCATGAACTGCTCTACACTTTGTCTCCTTGAGACTTCAGGAATGTTTCGAAAGTGCGGTCCGTGTATTGAGGATAGCGATGGCTGATGGTGAGACTTATAATGCATGCATGCTGCATGTCTTTTGGGACCATTCCTCCCAGCCTTTCACCCCCTGGTCCCTCTGTATGCGACCCCCCCCCTTTCGTTCGGCCAAATGCGACCCCCTCGTTGTTCTCTTTGCGCAACGACATGTCATTTAAGGTTGACCCTGCTTGTATACACGGGGTTATTTGGGGTCCTGATCACGAATACAACATTCATTTTTCCCGCTAGCGCCTGTGGGCGCCTGTTTTCCGCTCGTCTGCGCCCTCTCACTGATCACCTCGCGATCGGGACTAAGCCTTTGAGGAGGAGAGTGCTCCGAAGTGAATAACACTTATCCTGTGATCTTATACGCTTTAACGTTTGCCACATGTTGACTGGTTCACCCACCCCGGAGTCCTCCCTCCTTCTAGGCTCAGTCCTAGGTATTATGTACAAGTGAGAGGACCCAGGAGAATGGAAAATGTGCGTTGAACGGTGGAAATGCTAAAAACGAATGACATATCCGTAATCAGGATCTAAAATAACCCCTGTATACAAGTTTAAAGGATTTAGGTGGAGAGCCCTGGTGGCGCTAGATGGCGCCAACGTCAAAAATGAGTGTCTATTTTCGTAATCAGGACATCGAATAACCCTTATAGGCGAAGTTTCGAGGAAGTTCAAAATTTGGAGTTTTTGGGGTTGTGATAAGTTGAATAGTGCCAGAGAATTCCGCGTGTCACAGCGAAAAAAGTTTCGAGCTGCCCTTGTGAAC